CATGAGTTGATTTGAATTTAGGTTGTTTCTCCCCTTTTTCATATATGTTACATGTGTAGAGGGACCCAATTTATTTCTGTCTGAACTCTGCCACCAGATACCACTAGATATCAGTCTATTCAATGATGCTCGCAAACAAATTTCACTCTTCATGGCCCTTTCCCATATCAAGAAGAATTTTTAAGGTTTGCATTCATAAATTTCAATCCAAGACGACGATTCCTTAATTGGATTCTATCCTATATTCTTTAACCACACTTCCTAAGCATAACGATGGTTGTACAATGAAATCTTACATTTTCCTGTCATTAATAGTGGTCTTGTACTCACAAAAAGAATTAGTTTTTCCATACATTCTCCTGTACATTGTATATACTTAATCTATTTTGGCTCCACCTTACGCCAGGAGCCTTATATTTACATTTTGCCAGAATGATATTTTTTTTTCAGACGCACACAGCCGGTAGTTTGGGGGGAATATTTTAAGAAATATGATCAAAATGTCCTTTTATTCTGAATTATCTCCCCAAAGATGAGGGCGATTCCTCTTTTATTAGCTAAATTCACTTTCACTAAAAGACGATTTGTGGCCGGTTTGGATGGTGCTTCCACAGAAGAAGTTAAAAAGGATAAAGAAGAGAGACGGAGAGACATATATATCAAACACCATCAGCAAAAAATGTTCAATTGATATCTAACTTACGTTTACGGGTATATTTTTTTCCTTTTCCTGAGTAAATTTATTCATGAAACTATTCTTTTGTTTTAAGATTGTAAAATTGAGTGGTAATATTTAATTTTAAGAAGTCTTAATTATTCATGTTGTGCAAAATATAAAGAAAAGTTTTGAAAGTCGACTCACTACATCATGTTATGAATTTTCAACCGTGTCGATGATAAACCAGACATATATTTACAAATATCATGGATATTTTTATTCATAGTATATATTTCGTTATCATGACATGTATTATTAATGTAAATATCAATTTCGAACGATGTATTTATCATTAATATATAAGCGGAATGAATAAATATTTTGCCGAAAAAAATACCATGGTTCTCCCAAACAATGATTTTGTCGGATAATTATAAAAGAAATAATGTCGTACATAATTTTAAAGGGAATCGAAGTTTTTGAAATTGTGTAATTCTTTAAAAAATTTGGAGAAAACTACTGTATATTTCCTCGATACATGTGACCATGTTTACAATCAAAAACGTCCTTAACTGCATGCATGATTCTCTCTGAAGTATGTCGAAGGGACTGCAAAGAATTTTTACTAACCTGTGACTAGTCATTCGCCTGGCGCAGCGGTAGAGACGCGTGTAAGGATATGGAGTTGATAATAAAGTCGCGGTTTCAAATCCCACTGTGGGACATGGAGTCTGAACCTTAGTATATATCGTATCTTCTCTATATTGCCTTGGGTGTCGAGTATAGGTCAAAATTAGCAGCTCTCAACCAGCAAATGATATACGAGTGAAAAAGTCCCAAGATAGACATAAAAAAAAAACAAACAAACTTACTAACCTGTGGTTGATTTTCCATTTCAATGTAGTCACAGTCTGAGTCCAGAACTAAAGAGGTTTCCGATTCTTCCTGTTTTGCTGCAATGAGTTCACAATTAAACTGTTTCTTTTGATAGTTCACGGACCTGCATTGACGATTCTGTAAACATTTTCGAATGCATTGTTGCCGTCCTATGTTGGTTAAAACCTTAAAAACCTTGCCAGAAGTTAGGCACTGGCCCGGAGCGGTCACTTTTATGTTGGTGCATTTGTCTGTTTGTCCCGATATGGCATAGTGTATCGCATAAATAAATAAAAGAATTTGTAGTTCAAACATTACAAAATATTAATAAGAAAAAAAATATAAAAAATGAGGATTATCTCAAAAGATGATCCAAGTGTCGCAAATGAAAATTGATATGAATCTTCAATACGGTAACTAGGATGAAAAACAGAATGGCTTCAAACATGCGCAACCAATATCACTCGGAAAATTATACTGCCATTCAAAACAAAAGAATGATGTTAAAATATTGAATGAATATTTTAAGCCCAGAAATTCCATTAATACTTGTAAGTAATACATTTTAATTGTAAAGGGACATTTTACAAAGTCAAACTTAAATAGATAAAGTAGGAAATAAATTTTTCCCCAATATGTACTCGTAAAGGTTGGTTTTCAAGTACTTTGAGTAGTTTCTGACTACTCCAATGCAAGGGCATATTTCCTGTTAAAAAAAGTTCTTTTTCACAGATATAATATCAATTTATCGACTGGGTTCTCTTTGCGCGATTATCAAATTCTTTACATGTACATATATATGTAATGTATTTTAAACAAGATAAAATCATAAAATGTAAGTTTTCTGGATTCTTTTCAGGATTTTGTGAATAGCAAGGCTTCTTATTTGTATAAGTTTCAATATCGCTGAATATTTTCTTTTTTTTTTTCCTACGAGAATTGATTTTGCCCAAAAGATTTTTTATTTTAATTTGCATTTCATTTTCTGATTTATGTTTATCGTAAATAGAGAAGCAGGCGTGGATTTTGACGTAAATGATCTTGACATCTTAATTATATATAGTGATGGACTATTGAAATTGTTTTGAAAATATCTCTCGAGAAATGCATTGCTACTCGTACATACTGCTTAATTGATAAACAAGCATGGTAAGTGGTAGTTCAAACTTGCATCACCAATATTCTCATATCATAAAATTTTCTCAAATAGAATTTTTGATATTAGTCTCGATTTTTTGAAAACAAGATTTATGTCTTAGCGCTCTGAAGGGAATTAAAAGATAAAGTGGTAAATACAAAATTAGAAAGAAAAAAGTACCAATTCTTAAACTGGAAAGTCATCATTGTAAAATCACATATTTTCAAGGAGTCAAATTTTTTTGGTTTGGGGAAAATAAATTGATTTATGGGGATCTGATTTCTTGGAATTAGAATTGTTCACTTCTACATGTTATATATGTGAAAAATTGCATTTCGTGGTGGACAGAAATTCGTGGGTCTCTTCAATTGAAAGCCATAACAATTACCCCCCCCCCCTCCTAAAATTAGTGATTTCACAGTAATTCAAAAGTATAAAATAAAACTTTTCATTATGTAATTATTCATATAACATAAACAACATGCTAGAACAGATGTATCGATTACATCCAGGAGAGAATACGATATAGGTTCACTTATAAATAAAAAAAGCCCAACTTTTATTGTAACTGACCAATCGTTTTGAAATCTTTATATAAATTGAAATGTAATTGAAACATGACAGACAGCTTGGAAATGATATATTGTTTTTATGCATACATATCAATTGCATTTCCATACAAAAGAACTCCAAATCATTTATAATACAAATGGATGCTTTTGTGGGGAAAGGAAGTAATCAGGTATAAATTTTGTTCTATTTTCTCCATATTAAAGAAAATGTTGAAAAACGAAAAAGTGCTCTCCATTAATTGTCTTCTATTGATTAATAGATTAAAAAGAAATATAAGAAATACATATCATCTTCCGGCATATGTACTAATTAAAAAGATAATGAGTTGGATTTGTTTTCGTTTTATCAAAATAATGATATATGTAGTTTGGAATAGACAAATGATTGGTAACTTGAACAGTAAAAATCGATTTTTATAGATTAATTCGATATGTTCAATGACTTGGCCATTATATTTCCTTTTGTTTGGAATGGCAGCCACATTAGCTTTTTGAGTCAGGGAAAACAATTAAATGTGATGAAAAGAATGTGTAATTTGTACATGTGTATTGAGTGACTATTGGATGATACGTAATTTATTGATGAGAATTAAATTTCATCCCTTTATGTTACATATCTTCTTAAGTTTTATCATTACGAGACATTTGGTTCTGAGAAAGTTTTTTTTTTTTTGGAATTTTTGCTTACATTTATTCTGTAATGTATAAAATTAATTTTCTGTAAAAAGAAAATTTGATTAGCAATTTAAACAGCAATGAATTTAATTTTTATTGAATCCTTCATTATCAATAAGTAATACACATCAACTACATGTAGTAAACTCAATTTGAAAAGGAGGGAAGTTGAATGTCTACTACTAAACCTCTCTGATTCTTTTTTACATGGTACATGTAAAAGACCCCTAGGACTGGAAAAAATGTAGTAAATGCGAGAAAGGGAAAAGGTGATCTAAAATTCTGCAGAACCTCCTCTCTATTTTGTCCTCCCTTCTATTGCTTCTGTGGGATTTATTTTTACTTAATTTATGTCAAAGGGTTGTTCCAAAGATACATGAAGGTTTTATATATCTAAAAAGAACCTTACCAAAAGTAATCTATGTTTTGTAAAATGTTTGCATTATTTTTTTTAATTTGATCACTACCATTAAATTGTAATAGGAGTACCTTTATTCAAAAAGTTTTAGTTAAAGGTGATCTGTGTACAGCGTTTTTTTTCCACTTGTTAATTAAGACATTGTTCACTACAAATGTTTGTAACCGGATAAATTGAAAAATAAACTGTAAAGGATCTTTTTCATGCCAACACCTACTGTGCACGGGACCTCGGTTTACACAGTCTCATCCAAAGAAATGGCCCCGGGATCACGAAGCGTCTTAAGCTTAAGTCACAAAATGCCTTAGATGCTGAAATTATTTAGAGGTTAAGCAACCAAAAATAAAAATATTTTCTGATTTGGTATCATTAATCTGCTATCACATGCAAATTATGACTGTCCTTTAACAAGTTTTAAAGATTTTATTGATGATTGAAATTTTGGCTTAAGTCAAAGTCTGTTCGATGATCCCGGGGCCTGGGTATCGTTTCACAAAAGCATCGTAAGTTGTACGTAGTACGTAAGTACGACGTAAGTAGTGCGTAGCTAAATTTCGGCGTTTCACGAAAGCGTCTTAATTCAAGTTGTATCGTACGTTACGACGTAACTTTACGTCACCTTGGAGGTGACGTAAAATTACGTCCTAACGTTAATTTCCAAAGATGGCAGCGTTCATGATAGTCACAGACGAACAGGTGCGTCGAAATTTACGCAGACAGCGCGTTTTCCGGGACAGGCAGAATCAACTTGATGCGTATAACGACATCGATATTATCCATCGTTATCGGTTGGACAGATTGACCATCATAAGTGTCATTGACATGGTTCAAGATCGTCTAGAGAGACCAACAAAAAGATCTGGGAGTCTTCCAGCCTCATTGCAAGTGTCTGCTACATTAAGATTCCTTGCTTCCGGCTCCCAGCAGAGAGTGATTGGAGACACTATGGGAATTTCCCATAGGCGCTTGGGTCAAGGATACTGTATTTTTTCTATATAATGTATTGTCGAGGAAATTCGAACTATACTCTAACATTTTTTTTCAGTGTGCAGTGTTATTTTTTAGTTTTTTGTAAACCTTTCTGCTTCATATACACTAGAATGTCACGGAAATTCGATTTTATGCACGCTTTAAAAATGACATATCCCACTGTATACAAATAAGAAACAAGGCTTGCAACTTCTTTTGCCCCTTTCCGTGCCCCAGACTCGATTTTTTCCTGTTAAAAGTTATATGCGCCGCTTACCAGCTGAATTACCAATCCCCATCTCTGCAAATAATTCTTATACAATGATAAAAATCCTCAGGTATAAACTTTTCATCCATCTTATATTTTTAAATAATTATTTTCTCTCCAATGTCGGCATTTTTCTCTCGTTTAATTCTGTAATCACGGAAGTCCCCGGAATTACAACTGCCAAAACCCAAAACGGGCGGACAGAAATTTATTTGACAGTTCTAAAAATCGCAAGGATCAGAGTATTTGGCGATTTAAAATGTTTAAAACGTCTTACCTAATCACTGATTAATATTGATTACGTGACCCCAAAACATCCCGTGTACATGTCCAATTCCGGAAAAGACACTCATGTATACCGTTCCTTCTATTTTGATTTATTTTGCACGAATGTTCTACCTAGGCTATAGTTCAACTTGATATAATTTAGCAGTAATATTTTGATTATAATACAGATATATGCAACTTATTTGGTTTCTTCTCTAACAGATTTCTGAGCATTGTTAGTAAATGGCCAGGATCAACGCATGATGCATTTATATGGGCCAATTGTTCGATTGCACAGAAATTTGAGAATGGGCAAATGAATGGGTGGATCTTGGGCGATTCTGGGTACCCTTTAAGACCATGGCTCCTGACACCAGTTGGTAATCCAACTTCCCGAGGAGAAGACCGGTATAATGGATCTCACAGGAGAACTCGTGTGGTAGTTGAACAGGCCTTTGGAGTGCTGAAATCTCGCTTCAGGTAATCCATTTCAAATGTACTTTGATCATTGTGGACATCAGAAAAATTTTCCCCGATTTACTAACAGTGATATTTTAATTTGTCCTTCTACTTTTCAAAAAAAGAATTAATCACTGTATGAATTCGCGGAAATTCATTTCCTTTTTCCGCGAATATAGCAAATATTAACTCCGCGAGTTAATTTCCTGCTGTACAGTATAATCGATTGTTTACAGGTGTCTCCACAAAACAGGCGGAGCTCTTGAGTACACACCAGCAAAATGCTGCAAGATTGTATATGTATGTTGTCAACTCCATAATATCTGTATTGATAAACGGATTCCCGTATTTGAGGAACCTGAAGAAGCATTAGTTGAAGCTCAAAACGAGGTAACTTACCAGGGCCCTGTCAATGACGGCAAAACAACCAGAGAGCAATTGATAAGACAGCGATTTGCATAGGTAAGGTGCTACATGTATAAGCATCAATAAAACAATTCACCTTCATAGATAATCATATGTGTTGGTACTAGGGATATTCATATTTCACTTCTATAGAAAATTAGAAATTACAAAAATGTAATTAAATTCATTTATAGATATTTTTGGTAAAGTTTTTGAACAATTCAGCGTAACATTAATTGATAAATACTAATAATTTAATATAACAAAACAATAAACTCTCTCTCTCTCTCTCTCTTTGGTGTGTAATACTGTATTTTCATTTTACGTAATTCAAAAATATTAAAACACACATACACACACTCTCTCTTAGTCTCTCGCTCTCTCACTCAGCCACTCAAGGTGGAGAACAAGTCTTTCAAAGTGTCATTTTGCCCCCCTACTGCAACTTTCTCCTGTACTGATTTTAAAATGTGAATTTGAAGTCTAGCTCTCTCCATCTCTAGCTTGTTCTTCTCCAGCTCCTGTTGAAGAACTTGGCACTGCAGATCGTAAACGTCTTCCACAGTTCTTTTCCGTTTTAAAGCTGCTTTTTTCCTATAAAATTTTAGATTATAAACTTTTACATGTAGAAAAGGTTATGTAAATTCATCAGTTTAAATTTCAATTTTTCCTCAGAAAAACCCATTCGTTTTGGTTGGTTGAAGGTGCTTCTCTGGAGCCTCCAGAAGTGTTGGGGTAGCGGCTTGTTCACTAGAGGATGGACCTGGGGTTTGCCGTGGTGTTGGGACGGCAGCTAGCTCAGATGTAGATGTAGCTGGCGAGAGCCACACATCTTCTACCTTAAAGAGATCGACCTCTGAAATATAAATTAAATATTTAATATTTTGCATGACTTGTTTTCGTTAATAAACATAGGCGTCGGAAGCAAATTGAAGGGGGGGGGGGCTAATTGAAATCAATATAAATGTGAACTCGCCATTAACATCATCTGTATCAAACCCGCCTTCTACACCTTCTATTGATGTCTTGCCTATTATTGCAACAACCTGCAATTAAAAATTAGTGATCAATTATGCAGTACATAATTATGCTTAAGTTATTGTAGTTTTTTAAATTACAATTATTTGATGTACATAAATTCGAATGGTATACCTTTTGACCGATGTCGGAGGAGTTGACAGGAGCAGGAGCAGGTCCACCGCCAGTTCTTACAAGTTCCCTTCTGTAATGGGCCTCTTTCTTTTTAGTTTGAGATGAAATATCTCTCCATTTCTTGATGATTTCAGCGGACGTCCTCTCCTGGATACCGATGCTGTTTATTCTAATTGATGAAAAAAGTCAATATGTCAACAACAGATATACGAGTTTTAGGTCAGAGAAAAAGAAACTTCTAAAATTCAATATAAATATTATTGAGAAGCCTTTATAGTTAAATACTTCAATGATTTTTTTCCCTACTAAAACCAGTAATTTATTTCCATTCATGCGTTCACAAAATGTAATACGTTTATGTATTTAATCATGTTATTTCTAGGATGGCATGAAATATTTTTTCTTGCAAAATTGTTTGCAAGCAAAAATCGAGAAGGAGGAAATTCAAAAACTTTCAAGCTTTCCTACAGTGGAATACGAGCCTTCAACATAAGGATCAAATATTTTTCTCAAAAGTGACGTCAAACAAACAAAAAACAAAGAAACAGACGAATAAACTCTATCTCAAAGACGGAATTATTCATAGAGATTGATATAACGAATTTTATTTTGTTTTCGTTCAACAATATGTTATATTGCATTCAAACTTTTTGGAGGGCCCTAAATGGGCTTTCGTATTATAGCAGGTATTGCTTGATTTAATTAAAAGGGTTGTAGATAATATATTTTATATACATGGAATTAGGTTTTAGGAGCATGCAAAAATCCCTTTTCTGAAACAACTCAAAAAATATGCACTAATTTTCTATATTTCGTTCATTTTTACGACATAAGTCGCTTCATAATGCAATATTTTCTTCTCTTTTTTTGCAAATTTAAAGATCTTGACTAAATATCTATGTCATTCCGAAGGAAGTAGGGCGGTATATTGCTGTTTTACACATAGAAACCTTGTTGGGGATTTTTTCAAAGATGGCTGGAATATTATTCTTTAAACTTTCCACAAAAGGCGATCTAAATGATTTTCTTATGCAGAGTGCAGACTTTCAGTTTCAAAATGTCTATCGTTGCCATATAAAATGTGCTAAAAGTAAGAAATTTTGTTCTGGTATGTTCTTTCCGGTCTCTAAACGATTCACCATGAAACTTTAAATGATGATAAATCACTGTAGTTGTGCAATTCCCATTTTAAAATTTTCAAATAATCTATTGTCTCCAAGGAAAGGCAGGAAAAGTAAAAATTTCTAAACTTTGATTTCTTAGAAACTGCTGGAGTAATCATTTTGAGACTTTAATGTATGGTTCCTTGCATTTTTTCAAAGTTATTTCTAATTAAAAAAAAACCTGGTTTGGGCCACACTCGGTTACCATAGAAACAAAACAGAAAAATGCTGCTTACAAATGTTCTCAGTAGTGGATTGGACAATTTTGATGGATCTCTATATTAATTATATTCGAAAACTATGACCCTTTAAAAAAAATTACCGAAAACTTTGATACTTAAAAAAAGAATATCGAAAACTTTGACACTTTGAATGAAAAACTTAATTGAAAACTTTGAAACTTTGATAAACTTTATCAAAAACTTTAATAATTTAAAACTTCGAAAAACTTTATCGAAAACAATTAAACGTTGAAAAAGTTTATTGAAAACTTTGACACTTTGAAAAAGTTTGGAGAAAACTTTGACACTTTGAAAAACTTTGGCGAAAACTTTGACACTTTGAAAAACTTTGGAGAAAACTTTGATACTTTTAAAAAACTATGGCAAAAGTTTTTTAAAACTTTGCAAAACTTTGACGAAAACTATGACTCTTTGAAGTACTTTGGCGAAAACTTTGACAATTTTAAAAAGTTTATCAAAAACTTTCAAAAAAATTATCGAAAACTTTGACACTTTGAATGAAAAACTTTTATGAAAACTTTCATACTTTGAAAAAATTTCTCGAAAACTTTGAGATTTTAACACTTTAAAAAACTTTATCGAAAACAATGAAACTTTGAAAAAGTTTATTCAAAACTTTGATACTTTGAAAAACTTTATCGAAAACTATGACACTTTAAAAAAAAATTATCGAAAACTTTGATACTTAAAAAAAAAAATATCGAAAACTTTGACACTTTGAATGAAAAACTTAATTGAAAACTTTGAAACTTTGAAAAACTTTATCAAAAACTTTGATAATTTAACGCTTCGAAAAACTTTATCGAAAACAATTAAACGTTGAAAAAGTTTATTGAAAACTTTGACACTTTGAAAAACTTTAGCAAAACCTTTGACACTTTGAAAAACCTAATTGAAAAATTTGACACTTTGAAAAACTTTATTGAAAACTTTGACACTTTGAAAAACTTTGACGAAAACTTTAATACTTTGGAAAACCTTTATTGTAAACTTTGATACTTTGAAAAACTTTATTGAAAACTTTGACACTTTGAAAAATTTTGGCGAAAACTTTGACACTTTTGAAAACTTTGGCGAAAACTTTGATACTTTTAAAAACTTTGACGAAAACTTTGACTCTTTGAAAAACTTTGGAGAAAACTTTGACACTTTGAAAAACTTTGGCGAAAACATTGACACTTTGAAAAACTTTGGAGAAAACATTGACACTTTGAAAAATTTTGGCAAAAACTTTGATACTTTGAAAAAAAAACTTTGACGAAAACTTTGACACTTTGAAAAACTTTGAAGAAAACTTTAACACTTTGAAACACTTTGGAGAAACTTTGACACTTTGAAAAACTTTGACGAAAACTTTGACACTTTGAAAAACTTTGACGAAAACTTTGACACTTTGCTTTGCTATAGTTAACTATAGTAAACTATAGTATTTTTTTATTAGGGTGATGTGAACATTCCTTTTTTTCTTAATTTCTACCCTTGCAATTGAAATCGAAGAAAAATTAAAAATAATTTGATTTCTATTTTTTTCAGAATATACATAATCTTTTGGAAGATTTAAAGGTTTATTCCTCCTACTGGAAATTTGCTTACCGAAACAAAAAAAATGAATCAGGTCCATCGCTTCAGCCATCGAAAATATATCATATTTTGTTTCACCTTAGTTATGTACTCGAGAGTTCTCGTAGCTGGCATTCAAAATCTTCATGACATTTTACAGAAATAAAAATCAGCAACCCCAGTAGTTTATGGGATATTTTATTTTTTTTTCAAAGTTAGTCGCTAAAGCCGGATAACGAAGACATGACTTAAGAGAAAGTCGCGGCCATGTGATCAGCAGTTTTCAAAATGAATGATTTTGTTAACAAATAAATGTAATGTCAACAAAGTTATTGTACATTTTTAACCCCCCCCCCCTTTACATACACCTGTGCGAGCCTCACCCTTAAAAAAACAGCATAACATTTTTCTTTGAATCCGAAATCGACCCCTGATTGACTTTAAATCTAATAAAGACCCAAAATATCTTATTTATTTTTTTTCTTTGACGCAATTAGTTAATCGGTGAATTTCTTTAAGAATAACTTATTTTTTGTCTTAAAATTAGTCTGATAATTATAAATAAAATCAAGTTTCCCTAATATGTGAGTTTATATTCCGCTGCCGTGATGTTTTTTTTTTGTTGTTGTTGTGTTTGTAAATGATCTCATTTACGACTACTACATCTCAATATCTCAGTCTTTGTTAAGTTATTTGTGGTATCAGTAGTGATTACTAACTAGCAAAACTATTCCTTCCTTACAATTCAAATCCCTTAATATGTTAATTTTCAGTTACGTAAAAATCTGAGTTCTGAGAAAGAGATTTTTGAGGAAAACAAACATGAAATAAAATGTATGCTTATACACTGTATGATAACTTTATGAAAAGAATGACTCACTCATGGTTTAATATATCGTCAACCCAAAGTGGACCAAAGCCACAAATACAATTTTTGCTAGAGCGCACTTGCAATTGATAAAATATTGAATTAAATGTCTAACAAAATATAAGTGCAATATTCTATTAATGTGCTCTTCATTTTAAGTGGTCGTTGCGAATTCAATTCAAATCTATAAATATTGTTATTTATACAGTAATGTATAATTAAGTCTATTCAGATTATTTTTTTTCTTTCTGTTATATGACTTTTTCGAACTTTGATATGTTTTTTTTTTATTTTATTTTATCATGTAGGTTACAATGAAACAATGCATACCCATGATTTTACAACAATTGACATTCTGTATAGATATTTGTTGTCTTCAAATACAGGACTGCACACATTTAGGTTAGGAATCCAGAGAACGTTGTGATAGGAGCGTCACTGTGAGTGTAGTAACCTGTACCAGAGTGATGTTTAACCCACACCGTGTCTCCCTGCTGTAGTCTCAGTGTCACCATGTTTGTCCCTGTTTCGTGCAGATCGTTAGAATTATAATTATAGGCCATCGCTCGAACCTTGCTAGATCCATTGAACACAATGTCTACATAAATATCATAGAAGTCGGCACCAGCACTTTGGATACTGACATAGAAGACATAGTCTCCATTGAGGGGTGCGGTAAATATCCCTGTATTGGGATTATAGCCACCTCCCACGTTGTTAATGACCTTATTGAAAACTAGTGTGCCACTGTTCCAGGAAGTGGACGAAGACGTCACTCCAGCCGTGAAAGCCACTTTCTTTCCAAAATCTATACGAATGAGACGTATTTCTATGAAAGTAAGGACAAAACAAAGCTTTTACATTGTATGCCTAGAAAATTAGATTGATATGGTTTGTTCAAAGCCTAACTATTAAAATATTTAAGGGTAGAGATTTTTTTTTTAATTTTCATCTTTTGCCCGATTTTTATTAAAAAACACTCTGCCTATGTAATTTTTTTGTAATTATGATTTCTTTCTCTAAGAAATCCTTCGGAGAAAAATAATGTCATACTCAAGACAGATATTAACAATAATTCACATGCAATGGAATTTTAGTTTTAAACCAATTTAATTGTTTTTATAAATTCTTACCACAATGGTTATTGGAAACATTCATTCGAAACACCTCTAGAGAGGATACAGAGGCAGACAACTTCAGTTGACTATTGTGTGTTTCTTTTAGTTCAGTCTGTAATTCATCCAAGGTTTTGTTGATATCACCTGAAAGAGAAAAAAAAACTTTATATTAGAATTCCTCATAAAAATTACAGATGATACTGTAAACCATCTTTTTTTCCTCGACAACTCTATTTCACGATTAACTATGGGCAAATTAGATCGCTGCGATTAATTTTCGCTATCAAATCTGTTCTTATTAGACAATTAGGATTTAAGGACCGGTTAACAGCGAGCATGAGGCTCTCGCAAAAATTTCTCGTTTCTTATGTTAATTTATGTTAATTTCTTATGTTTTTAATTTTTTAAGTTTAGTGTGAATTATTGGTGTATGAATCACACAGACTTGCGCTAGCGCGCTTCATTAAATATGCCTACGTGACATTCCTTAATTCAACAAACCTTTCATGAAAATCAAATGTGCTATGGCATATTACTAGTAGATAAAATTGTCTTAGATAACAAAATTACCTAAATTAAAATCGACAATTTGTTGCTTAAAATTTAAAACATATTTTTTGAAAGGTCTTAATTCGTCTTTGTAAGGAATCCCATTTATGTCTAATTAGATAATACATTTGAATTCAATATCGCGAATAACAGAATTGGTTAAATTAGATGCCTTATAATACCTTTTTAAAAAAACGTTACAATGCATAAAAAGCTAATTTTGTTAGAACAGATTTGTACAACCCCTTTTTTCAAAGAATAAAAATAAAACGTTATTACTACATTTAATTTAATTTGTCAGAACAAATTTTCTAATATGAAATTCAGAAATATTTTTAACAAGACTTGGATTAGAACCGACATGGGCTCTCTTTCTTTTCAGTGAGTTTGTTAATAGTGATATAAAGTATTTTGCATCTTCCGTTTTGATAATATAAATATATTCCACTTGAAAAAAGACCATTTACATATGTATCACACTACCAGTGCTTTTAACCATGTATACTGTAAACCAACTTTTATTCGATGCCATTTTATTTCACGATTTACTGGCGTTAGATTAGTTCACGACAATTAATTTTTGCGATCAAGCCTTATTTGATATGTTGTTAATAAACGCAGAGACTTAAAGAACTGGTTCCCGGGGAGAAATATTCGTGATGATGAGGCTCTCGTGAACTTCGCGAAAATTTCTCGCACACGAATAAAAGTTGGTTTACAGTAATCATGGAAATCAATGGCTTGACTTAACGTAAATGTTCAAATTATTTATCATAAAGTCACATAGATCAATGAGAAGAAACAAAAAGAAATACTTACCAAACACAGATACTATAATTGCATTTTGTGAGTTTTCAAGATTTGAAACTGACTTCGACAGTTTAGTGCTGATTGCTGTTAAATCATTGTTCAAGGTTTCCAGTGAAGTGTTAAACATCGCTGACAAGACGTTACATTTCTCGTCCATCATATCCGGAATAATTTTTTCTCTTTCCAGTGTATGTTTATTAAGATCTAGGAGTGTGACTGAGAGATATCGAACTTCAATTTTCAAATCACTTAGAACAATACTTGTATTTGTTTCGAACGCTTCTCTTTCTTTCTCTAATTCTTTAGCAAAGTCTTTAAACTGATCACTAATCTGCGTAAAGTTATCTTTAACGAGATTAAAAGTTTCTGCAAATTTTCTGTTTTCGAGGTCAAGTTTTTGGTTTTCCCGTTTAAGGTCCCTCACTTCCTGTTGTAAGGCTGTAACTTTTATTTCTGTACTCTGTTGTAAAGATTCCATCGACTCATGTTTTTTCTTAAGGTCCACCATATCCTTCATTAGTATGTGTACATTCCTGACCAAAGCCATTCTAATAAGTGTCTCCTGATTCAAAAGTTGCCTGACCACGTCCGCGTTCTTGGTATCAATGTTTTTCATGTCCAATTCGGTAGTGTTTTGATCACTATCATCAGTGAATATAGAAAAAGTATGAACAGATGCACAATGCAATAACAGCAATACAAAATAGAGAACGTACTTCATCTTGTTAATCTTAAGTTGAAATGCAATTGTAAGCTTCAGACTGAAATGTTTACTTTCCCAGGCTCCACTTAACAATTTAGACGCTGAAGGGTGTTGGTTAAGTGTTTTTATAAACTTATTTTTCAACAAACCCGACTTTCAATTATAAACTTACAGCTACATTTCTTTTATGTGATGGTAAATTTTTTTATCTAAACAATCATTATTGTTATGAAATAATCCTGGGAAAATGAACAAGAGTTCAATGGGCCACATCACTCACCTGAACACTACGGCTAGGAAAAAAATCAGGAATCAATGTTTGAACCAAAAAGTGGTCCCAACCAATCCTTAAAGTCCTGGGGAGAGGATATGATTTGAACAAACTTGAATCTACACTAATTAAAGATGCTTGCATATTTCTTGACTGCCTGTGACTTTAACCTTTACATTTGAACTTATATTGTGAACCACCCCTCCCCCACCCCCACCCCCTGCCCAACTTAAATATGACAAATCATGGCTTTGATTTCTTTGAAAAAAAAATCCTATATATTCCTAAGTAAAATTATGTTCATCCATCGTGGCGGCACCCTACCCCCAGGGGTCATGATTTGGTCAAACTTAAATCTGCACTTCCTGAGGATGCTTCAAAAGAAATATGATCAATCATAACTTGTGGTTCCAGAGAAGCAGTCGGAAATGTTAAAAGTTTACAGACAGACGGACGGACGAACAGACGGACAAGAGAAAAGAGATCAGAAAAGCTCACTTAAGCTTTCAGCTCAGGTGAACTAAAAATTCAAATCCTTCATCAGTTTTACAAATGTGCAAAAATTTCAAATATTTTGTGTTGACACAGAAAGATTATGATTTGATATGGCCCTTTGTCGATTAATATCACATGCCTGTCTAGAATTTTCATACCAATATCTTATTACTCAATCATCCAATTAAGTTTTCAAGGATCTTTCTACATGTAGAGGAAAATAGAGGCTCTTAAATTGGTTTCAGAAAGAGCATTGAGTGAAGCATCCCGCGTTAGATGATGCACTGGCTTTGGATTCTAGTGTTATTTTAGCTTTTCTTTGTTTGGTTTGTCTCAAATTTTAGTTTTCCCTCAGATATTATTAGAATGTCACAGTATCCAAATAATAAAAAGATAATTTCTATTGAAGTTTGCTAAATGATTTTATTTTATCCTTTTATTATATTTCACAATATCTAATGAAGTATCATAGTTTATGAGAATAGCTAGGAAGCAGAGTATTAAATTTTGACCTTTGCATGTTAACAGGTGACACAGCTTTTTGTTTTTGATTAAGAGCTTAAATGAAACGCAGGGTTCTCCATAAGCTGTTTTACTGTGTTGCTCCCGACACAGTAAGATTTTCTCCGAGACAGAAACGTTTTAAATTTTATGTGTGCGACACAGTAAAGATTTTGCAGACACAGTAGATTTGTGATAATTAGAAACTCCAAACATACAAACTCTCTCTAATGGAAACTTTAATCAAACGATTCTATCGTCTTTCAATTCTTAAAGGGAGGGCACTTAATTACCTTGGCTTCATCTTGCATAATGAATCAATTTCTTCTAAACCCTCGCCGGACTTAAAGCATGAAGGAACAATAATTTGATTTCACACTTCCATGTAACGGTTATTTTGTAGTTGTATTATTTAAAATAAAGTTTAAATATGTTTTTCTCTATAGAGCCACGGCTCTAAAATTATGTTAGAATTGAAATTAAGTCAAACATAACATTGCACAGAAGTAATTTAATTGATGTAAATAAATTGCATACCATTTCACCATGTTCAAGGAACTCTTAAAAGTATTTCACTCTGAAGGTTTTTTAATTTTTTATTTTTTTTTATGTAATTCGGAAATTCTATAAAAAAAACTTAAAAAAAAAACTACGGCAATTTTATTTTCAAAACTGTCGATTAGTTCGACTGTTTTGACAAGAACCTCTTCTGCTTTTCTGAACATGTTTTTTTTAATTTGATCGATATGTACGATCATACCATTTGTGTAATGAATAAGGGATTTTTAAAAAGAGTGTGTTAATTTGTATTTTTTTGAAATTAGAATGCTTAGTGATTCGGTTGGGAATTTGATCGCAAAAATGAAGCTTTCCTCAAGCTCTGCAATGCAGTAAAATTTCAATGATGGAGAACCCTGGAAACAGAAACATAATTGAAATTTTCTTTTTTGTGTGCATTGATGTCATCTTTTTTTTCAAACAATAAAATGAAAAAAAAATTACAACAAAATGAGATTCAATTAAAATAAATACCTAAATGGATAACCAAAACAGAATGAGGTACATGTATCCAGCCAGTGCTAAAATTAAAACTTTATTAGAAAATAGATGCTGAGTGCATGGAAAACGTCTTCATATCAGCACATGTATGATATATGTCCCACGCTGCTTTAACACAGTTTGGCAACTGAGAGAATATGAAGCGTCAATTACATGTATATGATAGACAGGTGATGAACAGCCTTCTCTTAATTTTATATTGCAGGTTTGTGACGGTGTGCTTAAAAAAATATCCACTAATATGAGATTTTTCTCCAAAGTATTCAAGATCAATAACAATTACTGTATACAGGGTTATTTTCGCCCCGTGTTATTTTCGCCATTTTGCACTTGCAAATAATTTTGCCCCGTTTTAAATTCGCCAAGTCATAGTTCTGTTTAACAAAATATGCTGTGTTATTTTAATTCGCCCCGTTTTAAATTCGCCCAATAGAGAAGAGGACGAAAGGGTCGAAAATAAAACGGGGGCGAAAATGTCCCTGTATACAATATGTCAGTTCCATTCATACACTAAACAATAAAAATTCTGTAAATTCAAGTGATTAAAGAGTGGATATAAACAATTTTCAGAGACCATTAACAAACTGAAAAAAGGCATCAAATAAAAATTCTGAATTAAATTTAAATAATTATAGGCATGTAATTTTGTCAAAAAAAGTCATGAGTAAATGGAATAAATGAGTAAAGATTTCATTCGTATATTCATTGTTATCTTCCATTCTGCTCGAATCCAAAGTAATTCAATGATTGTATTTTTTTGATTATTACATTTAATTTAAAGGAAAATTAATTAAGTAGGAGAATGCGTAGCTGACCTGTTCAAATCTGTAATAATCATTATGTCAGTTAGATTCATAAATAAGATGGCTGCAAAAATTTGTGTCGCTTTTTTTCACATAAGGCTTTCCCTGATGTGATGTGTTTTATGGTGCTCTCTCACAGAGGAATAAAATAAATTTTTAAAAGAATGATTAGGACTGTAGTGACTTTAAAGATATTTTTTTTTTAAATGGTCCTAACGTCACAGAATTTGTTGTTTTATTATATTGCACCCATCTTTAGATAAACGTTAAAATACATTTAAATTGTACTCAAAGACTTGAAAAATAGTAAAAATGACCCCTTTTTTATTCATCTCTTTTGGTTTCTCAGCATATCAATCCATAGAACACGTGGATGACACAATGCAAATACATGTATCTTCTGGGAATATTATATATTCTGCAATTATTTCTGCTCTTATTCTTCACAGTGTTCAAAATAGTTTCTATTCCTTTGAAAAATGTAGATATCTCCGGTTTTTAATCTGGCCCTAAGACGATGAAATGAGAACAGATTTTAGTGGAATTTTCAAATCGCTATATAGCTAAAATAAAATTTACATCATATGTTTGAACTGCAGTGTTTTGCACAATTGCAAATTTTAAAGCTAACACACTGAATGACGCTGGAGATATTAAAAAAATGGATTGAAATAATCTTTTATGACAGGGAACTTGATTTTGTTATATGAAGGTAGAGTCCGTCATGAAGTTGTAAAATTAATGTAGATGTGTTTTAATTTGAAGAAAAGTAAATCATGTGATATGATCCTGTACATGTATGTATGGATACATACTAAAATGTTTTTTTTTTTCATTTTTATTTGTGAAATGAATCTTAATTAAAGCATAAATATTTTTTTCTCTACCAAGTTGAAAACTATCACTTGAATATTTATCAACGTGATATATATCAAAAGTGCGGCAAGACTATATTTTCCATCCCTGTTAGTGTTACATATAATAAATTTACTGTAATAAAATAGCAAACGTAAGTTAGAGATCTTTATATACCCGGTAAGGAGTATAATTTTCCCATTTTCCCCTTTTTCTATGCGCCCGAATTGATAAAATCGGGGTGTATATTGTTTTTGTTTGTTTATCTGTTTGTCTATCTGTCAACTTTAATCTTCGTCATAACTGTTACATAGTGTTTCAGAAACACATCTAGTTATTTGAGTTTTTACTCATTCATGAAATATAAAAGCATTTGTCTTACATTATATAAGCATAATAATTTGGTCAAATTATTATCGTTTGAAATTTGATTAAACTCACATCAGAATTGTAAATTACGAGTCACGAAAAACTTTTTTTTTTCTTCTCTTATGATTTTTTTTTTCCTTTTGAAATTTTTTTTAGCTTAAGGATAAATAACACAAACAAACTTTGTTTCAGAAATCAGCATTATTTATCATAGATTTACATTTAAATGGACAACCTGAGTAATGTTTACCAAGTAGAGTGGGAGAATTATATAAGATTTTGTCATAAGGTTAAAAAATTGTGCAAAATTTTGTATGGAATTATATAGAAGGCAAAACAAAATCTCATAACTAAGCACCAAGGAAAACCTACGATTTCCTTATATTTCAGGGATTTTTTATTTATGTCATTTCAAATCAAAGTCAGTCAAAAAATATATATCAACCCGCGCACCCTTAAAGAACATTTAATCTGACAAAATGCAGAACTATTATTTAAATACATTTAACAATCCGTACAGCTATTTGTTATCTTCAAATTGAGAACTGCACATCTTTAGATCAGGAATCCCGAGAACGTTGTGATAGGAGCGTCACTGTGAGTGTAATAACCTTTACCGGAGTGATGCTTTACCCACACCGTGTCTCCCTGCTGTAGTCTCAGTGATACCATGTTTGTCCCTGTTTCATAAAGGTCATTTGAATTATAACTATACGCCAGGGCTCGAACCTTGATAGATCCATTGAAGACTATGTCCACATGTAAATCACTATTGTCGTTTCCGTAACTTTGGATACTGACGTAGAAGACATAGTCTCCATTGAGGGGTGCAGTAAATATCCCTGTATTGGGATTATACCCACCTCCCACGTTGTTAATGACTTTATTGAAAACCAGTGTGCCACTGCTCCAGGATGATGAACCAGACGTTACTCCAGCGGTGAAAGCCACTTTCTTTCCCAAATCTTTAATAAAAGGATCTGCTATAATTTCTAAGTTACTATCGAATAAAAAATTATCATTTGATAATTGACATAAGATGCATACATACTTTACATACTTCACACAAGTAAGATTCCTGAACTCCTTCATATTTATTTTCTTTTTTTTTTTTTTTTTGCATGTTTAAACACTTTTTTTCGAGACAATATCTTAATGTATTCTGCATAATTTATGCATTAGTTTATGATTCTGGATAATTTACTCTTTTTCTTAGTAACTTGAAGCTCCTTGCGATTCTTTTTTCTGACGCATGATAGATAGTTGTCCATAATGATTATAAAAAATCTACCATTTTAAGATAATTGCGAACTGCTTTCCAAATCGTTTCTCTTTAATCTATATGTTAAGATTTTTAAACCAGAGAAAATTTTCCAAAACATACCGCAATGATTATTAGTAACATTCATTCGGAACACCTCAAGAGAGGACACAGTAGCAGACAGCTTCAATTGGTCATTCTGAGATTGCTTCATTTCGGTCTTTAAGTCGCCTAGGGTTGTATTGATATCACCTGTAATATTAAAAATGAAGATATACAAACAGTTCAATATGATATAAAGAAGTACTTTTTTTTATCTGAATATTAGTTATTTGTTTATTTATAATGTTCAAAAGAATACAGAGTTAAGTCTGATAAAAATACATTGTAAAAAATATCCCCTTTAACTGATAAACTTTCTCTATTTTCTTGTAAGTGGTTCATGCCTTTCGGCCACTTTATCCAACCAATAAACAATTATCAATGAAGTTTAACCTAATTTAATATTTACAATAAAAAAGAAAGTGTAGTTGGTATATATCTAATAAATATTTCTAGAAATGTATTCTGGTAATGGAAATGAGTTGAACAAAATACTTAGTAAACGACATTTAACCTATATGAACATGACTGTAAATGATGACTTATTCCGTTTCCACTAATTGATGTACTTTCCTCTTAACACTGATGTTTATATTGTCGATTTCTTTCCAGTTAGTTTACGGAGATAAATATTTCATCCACTACCTCTCAGGTATACAAAACTATATTATACTTGGAAGTGATCGTTTATCCTCATACATACATGTACCAATGCCATAAATACATTGTTTTTAATTTTTCAGTATATAAATATTTTTCAAAAAATTAATCAAATAACAACCCAAGTTATTCTGTATAACCGTGTGATTGGGCAGTATACGCTTAATAAACCACAAACCGGTTCATTAAAATATGTAAACTACACCAACCTTCGCAGTTTATAAAGTGTAAATTACTCAAAATCAAGTTATAGCAGTATACAGCTCAACAAACTTTTTAAGCTCACGTGGTTTTTCGCACAAATTAATGTCACATTGTTGTAATAAACATTACTATTTTCGAACTGCAGTGCAATGCCATAACCCTTCGTTATATTACATATATAATGTCAAGCGTAAATGTCTTTTAAAATTATAATCTTAAGTTTCCAAAGTGGATGATTTAAAGGAAAATTTATAAGTAAATGGTAGGGTGTTTCGACTATACGATTCTACAATGGGTTTTTACAAATTGTATAAACGAACTTTCCTTAATGCCATGTCGTTGAAATCTTCAAATTTTCTTCTTAAAGGTGAGTATTTTTTTAAAAAGCTTTGCTCATTTACCATACTCCTCTTGGTTTCGTCGAAACACAGCGCCGAAAAGGGATAATAATGCAAAAGGAAACCACACTAAAGGGTAGGATAATTAAGTATTGTTTAATTTTTTAAAATAGTAAACTCCTTGTATGAAATGGAAAAGACTTCTGCATTACGGTTTAAAACGTTAAATTTTTACAGTGGGATTAATCTTTCATGATTCTAGATTTTAGAAATTGCGCTTAAAAATCCCATCTTATTAACATATAAAGCAGTCAAACAGATGAAAAATACTATTACCATCCCGAGTTAAAGAGTCAAAATGTACAGAAAATACAAGTTACAGTAGCTGTACTGTACCCATGTCTACGTTTCTGCAAGAGCTATTGCTTTCAAAAGAACGGATATAAAGACAGTTGCAATTGGCAAGAAGATACAAAAATTCAACTGAAAATAGTTGGGTTTTTTTCAGCCATGAATATATCAAAGTTCTACCAATTGATTTGTGTGAATTATGTTTCAGTAAATGAAATAAAACTCAAATTATGTTAAGACTACTTTTAAAATGTATTGTGTTGTCTCGATACACAATATTATATTATAACAATGTGACCTTAATTTGTGCGAAAAACCATGTGAGCTTAAAACGTTTGTTGAGCTGTACAGTGTAGCGTGTGTTGCTATTTAATTATGTATAATTTAATTTTCAATCATTAAGTATACAAAACAAGACAATTTCTCCCTGAAACACGTCTTCAAATTATTATTATTTTTAACATAACGTAAAGCGGATTGATACGTTTTTGACGTAAGTCATGGTGACATTGACAACCCGCGGCCGGGTTATACAATTGTGATTATTTTTTTTATCCAATCAAAAGACGCGTTACAGCCAAAATTATTTTATGAACATATAATTTAATTTTGTTTATATTCTAGACTCTTATAGTTTAATATTCAAAAAGGAACGCAAATTATTTTTGTATAACTTGGTTTGGATCAGAGACAAACCCCCTTGACAGCTAGATGAATTATGCGTATGAAAGGAATCCTCTCATTTCTAGTCCTCAGGATTTATGGAAAATTTGAGATTTTCAAACAGTTAGCCAACTTTAACAAACATCATGGCTGCTAGATCTACTTGTATATATCAGTTATAACCCCCCCCCCCCCTCCCCCGCTTCCCATAATTTCCTTTTCTACCGTTTTATTAGTTTATATTAGCAAATTTGAACACATGAAATGTAACGCAAATTTACATTTACAACTGTTCAGTGATTTCAAATTAAAAAAAATATGGGGAATGACACTATTTTTTGGCCAAAGTATTTTTTAAATTTAACCTGGTGTAGGTCAGTTTACATTTTTTTTAATATTATAAACAAGAGTTAACATATCCAACTCAGATTATACTCAAATAACTTGGCCAGGAATCATTTCTTGAATATATATAAATTAACGATAGCTTAACCTTAAATTAATACCTTAAGGGAAGTAAATGTTCAAATGATTGATCATACTTGTGCAAATTCAAATATAGGATGCATCTGTAAATGAAAATACATACCAAACACCGATGCCATGATTGCATTCTGGGAAATTTCCAGATTTGACACTGACTTCGACAGCTTAGTACTTGTGTCTGATAAATCACTGTTCAAGGTATCCAGGGAAGCATTAAACATTGCCGACAAGGCGTTACATTTCTCTACCATCATAGCAGGAATACTTTTGTCTCTTTCCAGTGTATGTTCATTAAGATCTAGAAGTGTGACTGAGAGATATCGAACTTCAATTTTCAAATCACCAAGAATCGTACTTGTGTTTGTTTCAAACGCTTCCCTTTTTTCCTCAAATTCTTTTGCAAAATTCTCAAACTGTTCATTAATTTGCGTAAAGTTTCCCTCGATGATACTGAAATTTTCCTCGAATTTTCTACTTTTAAGACTTAGTTTTTGGTTTTCACTTTTTAGATCGTTCACTTCTTTTTGTAAAGCGGCTACTTTTATTTCAGTACTTTGTTGCAAGGATCCCATCGACTCTAGTTTTTCCTTAAGGTCCACCATATCCTTCATCAGTATGTGTACATTCTTCACTAATGCCATTCTAATAAGTGTCTCCTGATTCAAAAGTTGCCTGACCACGTCTGCATTTTTGGTATCAATGTTTTTCATGTCCAAGTCGGTGATATTTCGTCCACTATCGTCCGTGAGTATTGAAAGGTTATAAGCACAAGCAAAGTTAAGAAGCAAAAATGCAAGACCAAGACTGTGCTTCATCTTGAAAATCTTCAGTTGAAATGATGATAAGTATAAAGTTGAACGGTTATATTATATAACTATTAGATTGAGATTAATTTAACAAGAGATACTGTTTGCTCTCATTGGCAATTACTGATATGCCAAGGCTCTAAAGATCGGATAGATTTTATCTGATAAATGAATTCCAAGCTTTAAATTCTAATTAAAGAACGAAAAATAGGGGAAAAAAGTAAATAAAAGCTGTACATGAAATATATTAAATTGACACTGATGGAAAATGTCTTGGTAAGACCGCTTTAGTTATAAAGATAAAATGTTTTAATGACTGAGATTAACGTTTTTTAAATTAAATGCAAAAATGTAATTTGCTCGTAAAGTATGTTTTTATATTTGAACCAGTCTTTCTTGATAAATATAAGGTGTCTAAAATATATCGCCGAGGAACCTCGCGGCTGTATTCTACAGATGTTTTTTTTTTTTTATTATTATTATTTTGTTTTACAATTATAATTTTCTGAACTGTTAATTATAATGTACATGTATTATTATAAATTAATGATACTTTTCCCGTATATTATTTTGGTAAAGCATTTCATGAGATTACAAAATAATATCTTAATATGTTTATTTCAAGTTTGAAGTGTTCAAAGACTTAATATTTAAACAATCTAAAACCTCTGTTTTGCTGAAGTATTCAAATAAAACTTACACCTTTTCAAAGAATAAGATAGGACAAGAGCCAACCTAGGCCCCCTCTTCAAAAAAACTAATATTATATGTAATCCAAGAGTATACCCAAGTCTAACAGTAAATGATATTTTTTTGGTGTTATCCCTGTAATTTGGTTGCCTAGCAACACATCAAATATAACAACCATGAATTGAATTTAAAGTCAATTTCAGAAACATTTATTTATAGAACTATGTATGTATTCCATATTTTTTTAAGTAACACATGATAAAAATCATTTAAATCCTAGAAACATTGTAAATTGTAGGTGAAATGCAGAATTTAATTTTCCATGGCAACAAAACACATCCCTAGTAACAACTTTAAATGCATAAAATTATTGAGAAAAAGGGATGTTTGTGTACTATGATATGAAATTGTAAGGTTCAATGTTTGTATCTTAAGGATTAAGATCTATGTACATGTATCTTTAGAATTCAAAATTTTATCCTACAGGCATAAAAGAAATCCTTAGCAACAGCGTTGCAGTCATATAAAAAATGTATAAAAGTGTAGGAAGATTTCTTAACAGTTTGTATGCAACCACTGTGAACATCAGAATAACAAATAATAATGTGACAGTCACATATTTTTGTGTATTTTATGTACACTGTCTGTATACATAAAATATAATTAATAGAGTAAAAATTAAACTTTCTTATACTCAATAAACCCTTAGTAACCATATAAATCCCTAGTAACCAAATGAAATATCAAAAAATAAAGAACTATGCACGATAATTCTCGATTCCTGCCTACATGTTACACTTCTTTGAAAATTGATAGAATATTAATGGCAACTTGGTTTACAGCTATATTCAAGTTTTACAAAAAATTATAACGTTATATATATTATTCTCTTGGCAAATACTAGTACGTTTTGCGAAAATTCATACAATTATCTACTTGCATACATAGATGAAAATATGTTCATTTCGATTAATTGACTTGGGGAAGTCAGCAGAAAAAAACAACATTTATAGTTCTTTTTATTTATTAAACTATGATAAGATTTCTCTTTATGTACTAAGTATTTTTCTATTTCAATATACAGCAGCAATGACCTCTCATTTTTATATAAATTAAAAAGCAGCACTTCCTTTTCTGCAATGATTGTATTTTGCATAAAGTCACTCTAACAGGTTTGATCCATATATGTATTGTATGAGACTAGACTATTGCCACATAAAATGCAGTTTTTCTTTTGGCATCAGTGACTACAAATTGAAGACTTTATTTTACAAAAGAAGCTTATTTTGATATGGATATAAAAATGTATAAATTGAATGTGAACATACAAGTTATACTTATGTTCGTTGTAGTTGTCGCGTGTTCGAAATTAGGTCCACGTAATTTGCAGGTACAAATAGCAGTTAGCAGGATTGGGCGTTTATCTAAGCTCGCTCGGTTCTTTGAATATTAAGTTGTTCGGTAGTAAGGTACACTGTGTCTTAAGAACATTTTGTGTAAAAAATGGACGATATACAAATTAAATCTTCTGTAGATGATTTAGAATTGGGATTATCTGGAGATTATTTGTATAATATTGAAAATAAAGAGCTAACGAGCAGCATCCTGTTTACGAGACATGTGTATGTTGATTATTTGGTTCTAAATAAATTCATATTTGGATGAACAAAGTGAGGGAGAATATAATATATCAAAACTAGCTAGAAAACAAATCTGTCAGAGATGGTAGAATCTTTATGTTTGCAAAGATGAATTATAAACTTGTACCCTCGATGCTATACCAGTAGCTGCATTCAAAACCGTATGTACATTACAGAATAATCAGAAAAAATACATGTAACTGATAACATCACGAATTTTATTTCGTTTCCACGAATTTTTATTTCGTTCCAACGAGTTTTATTTTGTGGCCACAAATTGAAAAAAAAATCTCATACCATGTCCTTCACAAGCTACCGTAATTATCTCAGTGGATAGGGGCATTTAAGGAGGCTCACACATACATGTAGCAGAAAAAAGAAAGGGACATGGTTCTTTTCTCCTATGATTTAAAACTGTTGTATTAAAGATTTTAGATGAATGAAAAGTGTCAGACATACGGTGAAAATGATTTTACAAAGGGGCAACTAATTTTAAGCAGGGGTTTAAAAGGCATTTTCATGTGTATGCAACCTAAATTCTAGATAGTTATATAATCTTCCTACTAAGTTCCTAGACAAGTAATAGTTAGGTAGTTACTTAGTAATAATATTCAATAAACATCGGGATATTATCATTTCCCCAGCAATACAAGTCCCTTAAACCCAAGGTTTAATCTATAGTTAAAAACAAGAAAGTCCCCAAATTCTGTCAAAGATCATTTAAGCGGAAAAAATGCAAACTTTATTTATAATTCAGCAAGGAAAACCCGCATACAAAAAAAATTACGCAGCTTAATATTTGCAAATGTTTAGAAAAAAGTGAAGAAAAACAAGTGGCACATGTGAACTGAAAGAGTACAGCTAGACAGACAGACGGACAGACACAGACAAAATCTACAGCTCCCTCCAGTGTCACCGGTAGGAAACAAATAAGCTGATATCGGATCTACCTTGTAACAAGTAAAAAAATAACAACAAAAAAAATAACAAACTGTAAAATACACAATGCATTTTATGTCGCAGACTCCCTGTAAAATACGCAATGCATTTTCTGTCGCAGACTCCCATATACAGTGGACCTTCAGATATCCGGATGCTTCAGTAACCGGACGATTTTTCATCGGAACGAAATTTTTAAATGTTATTCTTTCTTGTTCAACTAGCGATTCAGATATCCGGATGCTTCACATATCCGGACAAATTGACTGGGAACCAAAGTGTCCGGATAAATGAGGGTTCACTGTACATATAGCTTAATCTATACGTGGAATATTGCAACAAATTCCTTCCCGTTTACTTCAATACATTTCTCTTAACAGTGGAAAAACTTATAAACAAACTCGTTTATACTTTTTAAAAGAGTCTTACATTGTACAGTGTAAGTGTATGTATGCGGCAAATATTTGAATTTTCATACATCGGTATAAAAATTAAAGGGGGGGGGGGGGGGCAATTCATCTGTCCGAATTTACCCAAGCGGAGAGCTACAGACCTTCAGCTTTTGTAACCCTAGATCAGCATTGTAATAATTAATTTAGTCAAGAGTTTACAAAAAATAATTTTTAAACTTTAACTTGAATCTCATTGTCTGATTTCATTTCCTGTAGGATACTTTAAACATTATATAGTGACATCCTCCCTTTATTAGTTCATAATTTAACTAGAAAAAAACTAGATCTACCACAGTTTGATCAAAAAGATTTTAGAGTGATGATTCTATTTCACTCAAAGTACACATGTATTGTAGCCTCATGTTACATAATGACAATACCAAAACAAAAATGGGTTTTCCATCGTACTATAAATAGATATTTACATGTACGAATGAAAAAAAATGGATACAGAAAGTCATATCGGTGAATCAGAATCATTGATTTTCTGTAAGAATTTAAATCAATGATCATTTTATTACATTTCCTAACTATAAGACGACTGATTATTGAGATACTTATGAAATTGGTAGTTTATGAGGAAAAATGATAAGGGCCTGTCAATCTACAAGTTCATGAAATATTTGTAACGTACGACAGATTCACATTTTTTCACTGTCAAATTATGATTTAAGGTTTTACAAGAGGCTTTAGACCCTTCAGCCCCAGGGTTTCAGTTTCCAATTCTGTAGCTATAAAATGGCTTTGAGTTGCAAAAAGGATCTTGGAAGGAAAGTATAGCTTGCACCCCGGCCATATCCTCAATAGAACCTCATTTTTCATAATATTAATTTTGTGTGATCTTTTAAAGAAAAAAAAAACAATTAGAGCAAGCTGTTAAGTGAGAACAGGTACATTGTTTCTGCAAGGATGAATCTAGGATGTCTTTGTGCTCTCGTCATCCAGAACTTGTGTTGTTGTTGTTGTTTTTTTTTTTTAATCTCATCCCAGATAGCAAGCTTACGTTGGCCCAATGTTGGGCCACCGTTGTAAGTTACGTTGGTCCAATGTCGGAAAATGATATTGGGCCAATGTAATTTTTCATCGGCGCAACGTTGCGCCGACATGTTGAAAATAACGTTGGCCCAATGTCATAGAACGATAATTCTGACGTTGGTTCAACGTTGGGCCACTGTTGTCAGTTAGGTTGGCCCAATGTCGGAAAATTTATATTGGGCCAATGTAATTTTGCTAATCGGTGCAACGTTGCACCGACATGTTGGCGCTACGTTGGCCCAATGTCATACAATGATAATTCTGATGTTGGCCCAATGTAGGCCCAACGTATTTGTGCTCCTATTGTACCTACGTTGGCCCAATGTCAAACAATGATAATTCTTATGTTGGCCCAATGTTGGCCCAACATATTTGTGCACAAGGATATATGGAAATCTATGGAATTCCATGGATAATAAAGAAATTACAGGAAGATACAATGAAAACTGAAATAATGATAACATCAAAATTTATCATAGATCAAATCTATATTTTCAAAATTAAAAAAATAGTTTCTTTTACAATGTGTTTTTAAACAAATATTACATATACACTTATATATGTACAATGTAAGCACATTTTTTCAAAGTATTCTCACTGATCGACATTTTTTTGTAATAAAACAAACTGTTTCTTTTTTAAAATATGGCATTTGACTTAATGACATTGGAAGAGGTCATTGAAACCTCAGCGGGATATACAGTTACAGTGAACTTCCAGTTGCCCATGTACAGTTACCGTACAAAGTTAATGACTAGACTAGAGTGACAAACACATGTATTAAGTACAAAATATCCACTACACAACTATATTAATAAGAAGATCCCTTAAAATCAACACATGCTATTTTCCCCGAATATGCCAAAGATCCTAATTAAGTTAGAATTTTTTCTCAAGTGTCTGCTTGAATCACTTCCTCACTTATATCCCATGAAATTCACAATAATAAATAAATAAAAGATGGCGTTATGTTAGAGGGTAGTCAAATAACTGGTCATGTCACGGTGAGGATTCACTTTAAGTAGAAAGGCTCAGAAAGTTCAATGATGATCATTCCCATAGACACTTCAAACTTTTCTGGCACAATTTCTAAACAAAAGATGACCATTAGGATGTATTATCATTCGCTAGTATATTTGTTATATATTACAAATAATAAAGTAAGGCTCAACAAGTCTGTTAAAGACAATTGGTTATTTCAACCTGACAGTTCAGTATAGAGTAGAATAGAAATTCACTATCTTGCAGTGTTTTTTTTTTTCATAGTTTTAAATTAGGATAAATTCTGATAAATGTAAAAATGAGAAGTTTACAGATGACACGTTAATACCAGACACTCCTGTTTCCTCGCTTTGGCCTTAAAATGGCTCAGGTGAGCTACAGGAAAAGGTTAGAGCTAGAGCTAAAGCATCTATTTGCCTGACTTACACTGAATAAGATATGATACATTAATTTCAATTCATGTGATTTTATTGCTCTAATCAGAAAATTTAAGAAATCTATATTCTGTGTTAATTTATCATACTGGTTTTGTCCTTCTTGTGAGCATTCAGATTCCTGTAAATATTAAATGCATGTATAATTGTGCATCATAGAATATGATAGCTATTTTTAATAATTTATACTTAAGTATTTTTGTAAAATAATTATGCATAGCTGTGCAAGTTATAGCATGTTTAGATTACCTGGAAACAGAATCCATTGTTATGTATTTGTTAGATAGAATGTTCTATCGTTAAAATGATATTGTCCTACGGACCCATTTAACGTAATGTAGTATTCAATGTAAAAAGAAACACGGGCGATAACTCGCATAGTGCATTTATTAAGAACAATCTAGAGAGTTCCGAATGTAAACATGGCAGGTAATTTGAATGGAGAGAAAAACGTTGAGAAAATTAATTGGATTTTCGTATTTAAATGGATTATTTTACTGGGACAAAAGGCATAAGCAATCTCAAAAAGGTTTGTTTTGATTATTTTGGTAGTAATTCCCAGTGCAAATCATTTTATATTCTTCAAAATCGTTTCGGAGCGGATCCGCTCCGATTTTTTGCTACATTGCAAGTATATGGGACATATTCTAACTGTGGTGAGGGCTTGTACCGAGACTCAGTTAGATTATTCTAACTATGTAGGAGAAGGAAATTAAGAAAATAAACCTTTTGTTTACTTGGTATACAGTGGATGCAATATCTTTATAGTTTTGAAAATTTGAGCTGGTTCTCACCATTTTTACAAGCTGACTATTCGCCGGCGCTGTGGGAATCGTCTCGGGCACAGTCCACTGCATGCAACTATTTAAACAATCAAAATAAGTGCTGAAAATGATCTTGAACATGCATTTAAAAATAAATATATTTTATTACATTGTACAACATACTCTGTAAATGTTGAATAGAGGAACACTGAAATTCCTGAATCGATCCGAAACGAGGAAATTCGGGTTGAAATCCATCTTTATGGATGATGTTTAGAAGTGTTAAAATATTTTAACAAAATTGAAACAGCGCTTGCTCAAACGATTTCACTGCCAGACATTTTATGTGTAGTGTCCTGACTAAGGAATAGTAGTAGAAGCAATTATTCATTAAAGGACACATGTCATACTTTAAAAAATATTTTGTACATTGTATTTACCGCAGTACCGGGTCGTAAAACGTCTTCATCTTCTGTCAAAACAGAAATTCGATCCAAGCTAGTCATGATTCTCCTTTTCGCATTACTCTCTTCCAAACTTTCCTTCTGTACATGGCTGCGTGGAACCCCCCAAAAATCAAAAATTTAAATTTCGGCGCGGTGTGTTGTTTAAATTAATTGCTTATCGAGCCCGACTTCGAGCCCGATGTAATTGTACTATTAGTCGATAGTTTTAGAGAAAAATCTAAGTTATTTTCCATACTTTTGAAAATCTACGTAAGGATTGAATATTTAAAAATGAATAAATAAACAAATAAATAAAAAATAAAATAAATAAATAATTTTTTAACGTTTCAACATTTAAGTTGGTTCAACAATGTCGGGCCAACATTACAAAGATGTCCATACTTCAACATTAAAAATAACAATTAATGTTCAGGCACGTAGCAACAGGGGGGGGGCTCATCCCCCCCCCCCACTTTTTTCCCCAACATTACCTTTACTACAGAAAATGTCCATTGAAAAGATGCCTCCGTCCCCACTTTTTACCACAGTATAGTGATATCAAGGAAAAATAGCAAAAAAAAAGTGAAAGGAAGTTGAAAAAAGTTGGCCACTACCCCCCCCCCTCCCGTCCTTTTGCTTGTCAACTTTTTCAGGTAAGTAAAAATTCTGTGGTTGCCCCACCCCCCTTTCAAAATCGATGCTACGTGCCTGATGTTGGTCCGACGTTGGAACAATGTCAGTGCACCAACTGTTGTAATGACAATGTCGGACCGATGTTGGTACAATGTCAATGCACCAACTGTTGTAATTACAATGTCGGACCGATGTTGGATCGATGTCAATACACCGACTGTTGTAATGACAATGTCGGACCGATGTTGGCCCAATATCGTTCTGCCAACCGCGATATGTAGCCGATCTACCGACCATATGCCAACATCGGCCCAACGTCAGCTTGCTATCTGGGATATTCCCAAAAATTTTTTTTAATGATAATAATAAAATGAAAAATACAAATCCACCTTGTTATGTCAAATTTAAAAAAGTTGTCCATATAATTTTGAAGCGATATGAGCAGAAACAAATCGATAAAAATAACCTATTGCAGATTTATTCAAAGCAGGTGCGTGTGAAGGATTTGATCCGCTCCCACTCAAAACAAAAATGGCGTCGTACAGCAGACCCTTCGTACTCATCGTAATTTCGTGAAATACCTCAAGTGGAAATAGTATTGTGGATAATTTCGTATAATATCATTGCATGCAGGAAAATATTCATTTGATTTTTCACCAAAACATGACTGATCCTATAAGGAAAGTGGAAATCCAGTCGAAATTTCTATGGCATGTCCTGTCAGCAGTGACACACGACTGAGCTATTTTGACTTGAAATATATATATAAAAATATATATATATATCAATATTGATGGTTTGAAAAACTTGTGTAAATTATGTTTCTTGCGAAAAAATTACAAATAACTACTGTTTGACAAGAAGCAGCTTGTATAACATAACATACCCGTCACATTGTTAATCCGGAAAAAAAAAAACAGTTTGATCATGATCAATCGAGTTTTGTAAAATGTACACGATTTTTTTCTTGATTTTTTTAATATTTAAACATGAGCGACTGAGAGTACCACGAAGATTTTTTATACAAAGCAAGTACTTATGTATTGCTCTCAAATAACAAAATATCGTAGTGGTACTCTTAGTCGTTCATAGTTCTTAGAGCGTAAGAATGCTGAAAATACTGCATATTCTTAATATTTTTCGTGATAATGCAGAAACAAAGTCCTATAAAATTCATTTTATGGACGAATGAGAAGAAATCTAATATGTTTTATAAAAAGTAGGTGTTTCCATCTTTCAAAAGACTGGGGTGTCTTTTTATATACAAGTAATCTATTTTCTGAGAAATTTGGGGGCCATGCGACATTACTTGTCTTATCTTATTCTTTTATTGTTTCATTTAAGAGAAAAATGTTATCTTTGCTATTTATATGTCTTGGAAGTAAAAAAAATTCAGTTAATTATCAGCTACATATTTAAAAAATGAATATAATATTTTTAAGTCGTTAATATATTTAAAAAAAATGAGAAGCTTATAACATTTGAAATAGCAAATAACTATAGGTCTGTATAAACATGTTTGTGTAATTAGCTGAGAGAGTTAACAGATGAGAGCTTTGACGATATATTTAAAAATTGATTTTGGGTACAAGGAGTTGAGCCTGTACGGTCCAAGAAAATGATTCTTTGGCAAGCATTTGTCTACTTTTTTTTATCAAAAGGTATATTGATATAACTATATATTTATGTATTATATCAGATGCTACACAGGATTTTGTAGACGATTCCGAAAACTGTAACTAGAAACCATAAATCCACAAAATTTGGTAATGTCTGAACTTTGGCATGATATAGGTAACCCAGCTTCCCTTTTAATTTTTTTTCTTCAGTAAAATTTTATTAAGTTTTTCATTCCTTCTTATGTAAAAAGCATTATTTGAGACCTAAAAATGCTTTTCACAAATACATAATATTTTTTAAACATTTTTTTTATATCGTAATTCGATTGATAGAGAAGTTTGCTCGTAAATGTGACATGTGACAGTAATATGTAGAATGGTTGTTACAATTGTTTGAAGGGGTCAAAAAGTGTTGAAAATATACCAAACATATTTGCAATGTATATCTTTATCTATACACATCATCCCTAAATTTCTCACGAAATGCACATTCTTTGAACATGTTGAAATGTTTAGTTTCGCTGCGTGGTTAAATTCAAGATCCAAAGTGGTTTAACTTGGTTAAAAGGGTAATGATTAAAAAAAACTTGAGTTTATAATATTAATACATTTGAATGACGTGGGTCTTGGTGGATTTCTAAATAGATTTTTTTTATTCCTGACTTTCCTGTTCTTCAGAATAATTTTTCATTTCTTTTTTTCTTCAATATATTCCCATGAGAAATTTGTATCGCCCTGTGATCACGAATTAAACAACCTTATTTCCAACTATATATTGTAAAGTTCACATAATATTTATTTTTTTCTGCTCGAGTCGTTATTAATAATAAAAGTAAAAAAAAAAGATAAGATTTGATGATAATTTTGTCTGAAACAAACAATGTTTTTAAGATGGCTCCTATCTTTATATTTTTGATATTTTTGAATAAAAAAATTTACACGATCAATTTATCTGTTTTCTTTTACAAGAGATTAACACCGTTATGTTTTCAATATTTTTTTTTCATGTAAATTCATTTCTGTAGAATGCAAATATAGATAATATTCCCAATAAGTTAACAGAAAAAAAATCCTTACTATTTCTATAAATTTACAAATGGCATAGCTATACATGTATCTATAAATTAATAAATTTGCTAATCATTTTTAAAACAGCACCAGAGTTCATACTTTCTCCTCTTGGAATAAGCTAAGTATAAGGTGATGTCCATAAAGTATATTCAGAATTCACTCACATAATTTTCTTGTATCCTGTAGTGATAATAGAAGGTACAAATTAATTTATTTTTGGGTTTAATACAAAACGCTTATATAAGTTAATACTCCGCTAAACATACCCGTCTACGGTGCTCCATAGACAAATTGAATACAAAGAGAAAGGCCTTATCAATTCTTATGAAATGATTCAGCCAAAAATACGACACAGTGATATGTTTTATTTTTATGTCGTAAATATAAAATAACAGATCTACCAGATTTCAAAAGATATGAAATCCCTGCAACGACAACCTTTGTGTAAGGTGAGTTGCCTGCTTCTGTACAGTCTGTATAACTTACCGGTTAACATCATGCCATCGGAACAAAATTTTAAGTATATATTAGGATTTCAACAAATTGAATATTTGGGCTCTAGAGTCTACATAATGAGAAAATCACGCATCGTATTACTATATATCAACTGCGGAGAACCTGTGTGTAGAATAAGTGTTTTTAATTAAGTAATTTTGTTGATGACTAATCACATGTGAAAATATCCTAGCACGGATTTTTTATTGAAGAATGATCGTTTGTCTATTTCATTAAGAAATTTAGTTCTCTATCCCCAGCTTAAAAAACGGACAGGTATGTAGTAATCGAAATGTCAATCCGTCCGTCTGTACGTCCGTCCGACGTCTATCTGTTACGCTTTGGGATGCCCCTCTCATACCAGTCAATGAAATTCAATGAGGCTTTTTCTTTATATAATGCAATAATGTAACTCCTATTTTACTTTTTATTTCGACACATGCATACATTTTGGGTTTCTCATAGCTAAACATGGACACTGCCATCATACAAGTATTCTTGCCTTGATGTCAAGTGTGGTAACTTTTGAGTAACATGGAATTTCACGAGTTGTTCCTCTTTACACGGTACCGGAAAACAATATATATGTAGAGAGATTTTGGGTTCTCATAGGAAAACATGGACAGTGTCCTTATATTCATATGGGTTGCGGGGAGTACCCTTATTTATTTTTTTTTTCATTTTTAATCATATAGTGTTGAAAAGTCGTGCGTATTGACGATATACACTTTTGCAACAAGAATACATGTATGACTTTATTTTTCTAAAAGGTTTAACGGGTTTCTTGTATTTAAGATTCTATTTAATGATTGATATCAGGTCTTCATTTTCAGTTATATGAGTACATTTTACCAGTTACGGCGTGTCCAGCGGGAATTTAGTAGTAAAAAGAGCAAGAACACTCATTATTATAAAGGGGGTTTAGATGTCACTGTCTA